CGACCAGCCAGCCAGCCAGCCAGCCAGCCACCCAGCCAGCCAGCCAGCCAGCCAGCCAGCCAGCCAGCCAGCCAGCCAGCCAGCCAGCCAGCCAGCCAGCCAACCCGCCGCCGCCGTCGCCGTCGTCGTCGTCGTCGTCGTCGTCGTCGTCGTCGTCGTCGTCGTCGCCGTCGTCGCCGTCGTCGTCGCCGTCGTCGCCGCCGCCGCCAGCCGGCCAGACGGACAGCCAGCCTGCCAGCCAAAAGTCAACCAGAAGTCAACCAGGGCCCAGCTAGCCAACCAGCCAGACAGCCAGCCAGCCAGCCAGCCAGCCCGCCAGCCCGCCGGCCTGCCAGCCAGTCAGCCGGCCAGCCGCGGCCAACTAACGATTATGGTTGGCTTTTGGTTGCCTCTGGTTGGCAGGCACCCGCCAGCCAAGTTACACGGGTTTTGGCCCCATTTCCAACCAGAACGAACCACAAGCCAACCGAGATCGGCTTGACACCGTGTAGGTGCATCTGGTTGACTTCTGGTTGCTTTCTGGTTGGTCATGGGTTGTTCTGGGCGTCCTAGCCGCTCACGTTACACGTGTTTAGGCCGCATTTCTAACCAGAAACCAACCAACTTCAACCGAACAGCACTTACACGTTGTAAACAAACTTTACACGTTGTAAACACGAACTCTGGTCTTTTGACAGGGAAAGCGGGCGTCAACAAAACAACCGGATCCGGACTCCCCCGTTTTGCCTGAGACTTCCTCACGAAAATGATGAAAATGTGGCTGCGGCCTAGGCGCGGCGAGGGGGGCGTGCACCAGGGGGCCCAACAATAATTATTCTTTAGAAGTAATAATATTCAACAACAACACCCACAACAACAGCAACAACAACAACGCAACAAGCAGAAACTTTCACCACGAATTCCTTACTCAGCCACGCACCCAGGGACAATGAATGACCGTTCAGCCCCATCACTCTGATGTACAACCCCGAAATTGTGGATAAGAGTGCGGGGGCGGGCGTGGGTGGGTCGCGGGTGGGTCGCGGGCGAGTCGCGGGTGGGTCGCGGGGTGGGTCGCGAAAGGGTTGCAAGTGAATCGCGGGTGGGTCGCGGGTGGGTCGCGGGTGACCCGGGTGGGTCTGGGGTGGGTCGCCGGTGATCGCGGGTGGGTCGCAGGTAAGTCGTGGGTGGGTCGCGGGCGGCTCGCGCTGTGTGTCGCGGATAGGTCGCGGGCGGGTCGCGGGCGAGTCGCGGGGTGGGTCGCGGGTGGGTTGCGGGAGGGTCGCGGGTGGGTCGCGGGGTGGGTCGCGGGGTGGGTCGCGGGTGGGTCGCGGGTGGGTCGCGGGTGGGTCGCGGGCCGGGTCGCGGGCGGGGCGACGACAAAAAACAACAAGCAATAACAACAGCAAAAAGCCGCATCGTGGAAGCCCACTTCAGCCACGCACCCAGGGACAGTGAATGACCATTCGGCCCCCTCACCCTGGAGGTCCACGCCGATCCGAGAAATCCGCGCGGACCTCCGAAAAGTATGTTTATGCTCGTTTCGCCACTTAGAATTAAACCCGAACGGCAGACGGTAATCGCATGCTCCTGCGCCATTCAGAAGAGCAGCATGTGCCACAGCCGCCGAGAGCCCATCCGGAAGGGGCCGACCCGGACGACGCTCAAGCGTGCCACCGCCCAAGGGTCGGTCTCCCCCGAAATGAGCTCTCGGTGGCGGTCCATGTTCAGCTGGGCCGGGCTCGCCTGGAACCCAGCCCACGCCACGCTCTCGAGCGCCGCGCTGGGCAGGGCGCCGGTGCTGTGAGAAAAACAGAATATGAACGTGAACTGTCCGAGGTCCGCGCGGATCTCCCGGGACCCCCTCCCTGAGCTAGAGGCCTCCCAGATGGGGTCCGAGTAGACAGGGTCGGAGGATCGCGCCTCATCGCCGATGCATCGCAGATGCATCGACGATGCATCGGCGACGTCTGCGGTGCATCGGCAACGCCGGCGTGGAGAAAGAATCGGGCTCCATATCAAGCCAACCGATGCATTGGCGATGCGGCGCGATCCTCCGACCCCATCTAGTCGGACACCATCTAGGAGGCTTATGGGCCCATGGGCGCCCACCAAACGAAACTCCGGCAGACCTTCCTGGTTCTTCAGGACAAGTGCAAGCAGTGTTCTTGGTAGGCAGTCTCCTTTTGCTGACGACACACTCAATGGCAACCCTGTTGTGAGCGGTTTGTGCACGAGGTCTCGTACGGTGATTCGTACGGCAAGAAAACAGAAGCATGAAGCACATGACAAGAAGAGGGCGGAGTAACATCGAAGGGCTCAAGCACTTCACCACGTGTGTACACTTTTTTCTCGTCGGCGGCGACGCAGAGGCAATCCGCTCTGGCGTGTGGCCAATCGGGCCACCGAAACCACCCGTGTTATAAGGCAAAATGCATCACCGTCGGTGTTTGTAAACGTTTCATACTTTCCCCAGACAGCCCGTCGGATGCACATAGTTCTCTAGTAACGATCGGCGGGGGAGCCCGGGCCCCCGAAGTCGGTGGCACATCGCGCCCTCCAATCGCGGCCCTTTTGTGTAAGGCTGTTCGGGGCCTTCTGCCGCAAGGAGGTCACTTACATGAAGACGGGTGTTATCATTTGCTTGTCAAGCTCTATGCCCTGCCAGGGGAGTGGCCACACGCCCACAGGTTCGCCAACCCAACTCCGACATCGACTTGTAAACCTTCACGCATGAAATGGCATTGTAAATCGGCCGCGACACAGACTGAATTGCACATCGCCCCCAAACAACAGTGTAAGTGCCAACCTTACCAGAAGGATTTACATTTTGCAGCAGCCGCAACCAAAAAAACATGATTGCAAACCGCCCGCGCAAAGGCAGAATACCCACCACAGGCAAGAACAATGCACATTGAAAACACCAGCTGTGCTTCCACATGGATCAAACGCAGACACATAAATAAACACTTTCACACAACAACGTCGACACGCGTGAGTGCGGTAGCTTTGTGTATGTGCGCGTCTTCTTGATTTTAGAAATAAGAGAGAAAGGTGAGACAACATACTCATTGCCTTAACAACGCTTGCTCTAATGGTGAACTCCGCATGGTCGGGTTGTGGTTGTTGTCAAAAACCCCTGAGACGACATACGCACTGCCTGAACAACGTGTGCTCTGATGGAGGATTTCGCCTGGCTGGTGCCCGCGGTCGCCTCGTTAGCGCTGCGTGTTGGCTGGGAGTTCTGGCTTTTCGCATGGTGGGCGCCCGCGGCCGCCTCGTGGGCGGCTCGTGTTGCCTGGGAGTTCCGGGATGTCGCCTGCGGGGTGCCCGTGGTCGCTTCGTGGGCGCTGCTGCTTGGAAGTCAGCTCTGGGTCCTTGCCTGGTGGTCGCCCGGGGTCGCCTCGTGGGTGCCTCGTCTTGGCTGGAAGCTCCGAGTGTTCGCCTGGTGGGCGCTCGTGGGCGTCTCGTATTGGCTGTTGGAGTTTGGGGACTTCGCCTGGTTGGAGCCCTTGGCCGCCTCGTGGGCGCCTCGTGCTGGCTGGGAAGTCCAGGTTTTCTGGGCTTTCGCCTGGTGGGCGCCCGTGGACGCTTCGTATGAGCCTCGTGGGATTGCTGGTGTTTCGATGGCGTCACATCTGTTGCCCCCCTATTTCGCACCGCTTAGCTTGAACAGTCTACCTTGCACGGCACAGCTCGCACCACATACTTTGCACCGCGCAGTATGCACCTGGCAGCTTGCAACGCCCACGTTAAACAACGTACGCATATAGACTGCACCGCACAGTTTAAACAGAGCTTAAACCATAGACTTCGCACCACAGAGCTTACACCGTATAGCGAAAACCTCATAGCTGGTATCACGTAGCTTGCACCGTCGCATAGCTTACACCACACAACCTCACCATGTATCCTGTGCCGCGTAGCTTGCACCGTGTGGCTTGCACCACACGGGTGGCACGACATAGCTTGCAAAGCATATATTGCGCACCACAACTTGCAACACGTAGATTGCGCCGCATAGCCTCCACTAAATAGCATCCGCATCCCGAGCGAACGAATTCACTGTTTAGGGCCTGTGCTGACAAACATGTTCTACAGTTGTTCGTGTTTCTCCGGTGCTTCAATCACGAGTATCGCTGAGTCCGCCGATGCACATCCTGTGCGAATGGGATTTCAAGTGTAAGCTGCCCGCCACGGGATCGACTTGACACTCAGCCACACCAAAATTTCCATCAGAGATCGCCCACCAAAAGCAGTGTCATGAAAACCGTCACGCAAGGATTCCAAGTGTAGATCGAGAATGAAAGGCCATACATCTCACCCAATGAACAAATCTCTCCCACACACACACACACACACGCACACACCTAGGAACGAGATGCAGAACACGGAGGAGGGGAGGGGGGAGGGGGAAGAGAGAGAGAGAGAGAGAGAGCGAGAGAGCAACAAGAAACAAGCTTCGAAAACTAAATAAAAGCGCAACGGAAAACTGATCTAACAGGCTCCGCAAGCTTCAATTTCCTCCCCCCCAATCCGTCCTGCTCATGGCCCCCTCGTCATAACTTTCCCCTCCCTCTGCTCTTCCCCCTGTTCCCCTCCTCCTGGCCCCCCTTGGGGAGCGGGGGCCTGCAGGCCGTTTCGATCAGGGAGCCGTACGAGGTCACCAGGTCCCTCTGCGAGAACTGCCCCTCGAGCTCGGCGAGGAAGGTCAGCCGCGGCGGCCGGCGGCGAGCGGTCTCGCGGCGGGGGCGCCACGCGAGGAGGAGGCTCGTGGATAGACAGGCGCGTTCCACTAACTCGCAAAGTAGCTACTCGCAGATGGCCTGGATCCGCCGCGGGTGATCTACGACAAATTACATGGAAGTAGACACGTGTTTTTCGGGCGTTTGCGAGTAGGCACTTTGCGAGTTGCGGAACGCGCTCGGTGAGTGGAGGAGGACGAGGAACACGGATCGAAGATCGAGGAGGCTGCTGGATTTTTTGTTGGCTCTCTTGAGTTCTCAGGACCTGATGCTGCC